TGACTGTAAGTCGCTTTGGATAAAAGCGTCTGCTAAATGGCATATTATTATTATATAAGGTCCCACAGTTGACAGTGCATGTCAGAGCAAAAGCCAAGCCATGAGGTCGAAGGACTTGTCCGTAGAGCTCTGAGACAGGATTGTGTTGAGGCACAGATCTGGGGAAGGGGACCTTCAATGCTGCTGATATTTCTTGGTACCCAAGAACACAGTGGCCTCCATCATTCTTAAATGGAAGAAGTTTGGAACTACCAAGACTCTTCCTAGAGCTGGCCGCCCTGCCAAACTGAGCAATCGGGGGAGAAGGGCCTTGGTCAGGGAGGTGACTAAGAACCCGATGGTCACACTGACAGAGCTCCAGTTCCTTTGTGGAGATGGGAGAACCTTCCAGAAGGACAACCATCAGGCCTTTATGGTAGAGTGGCCAGACGGAAGCCACTCCTCAGTAAAAGGCACATGACAGCCCGCTTGGAGTTTGCCAAAAGGCACCTAAAGAATCTCAGACCATGAGAAACAAGATTCTCTGGTCTGATGAAACCAAGATTGAACTCTTTGGCCTGAATGCCAAGCGTCACGTCTGCAGGAAACCTGGCACCATCCCTACGGTGAAGCATGGTGGTGGCAGCGTCATGGTGTGGGGATGTCTTTCAGCGGCAGGGAGACTAGTCAGGATCGAGGGAAAGATGAACGGCGCAAAGTACAGAGAGATCCTTGATGAAAACCTGCTCCAGAGTGCTCAGGACCTCAGACTGGGGCAAAGGTTCACCTTCCAACAGGACAACGACCCTAAGCACACATTCAAGGCAACGCAGGAGTGGCTTCGGGACAAGTCTCTGAATGTCCTTGAGTAGCCCAGCCAGAGCCCGGACTTGAACCCGATCAAACATAGCTGGACCTGAAAATAGCTGTGCAGCGACGCTCCCCATCCATCCTGACAGAGCTTGAGAGGATCTGCAGAGAAGAATGGGAGAAACTCCCCAAATACAGGTGTGCCAAGCTTGTAGCGTCATACCCAAGAAGACTCGAGGCTGTAATCACTTCAACAATGTACTGAGAAAAGGGTCAGAATATTTATGTAAATGTGATATTTCAGTTTTTTATTTTTTTTAAACCAGTTTTTGCTTTGTCATTATGGGGTATTGTGTGTAGATTGATTGATGGGAAAAATCTATTTAATCCAGTTTATAATAATGCTATAACATAACAAAATGTGGAAAAAGTAAAGTGGTCTGAATACTTTCCGAATGCACTGTAAATAAAAAAAGTAAAAGTGTAGGTTATATGCATATTCTATAGCCTCATTTCCAAACTTATGCTGACATGAGGGAGGTGACAGAAAAATTAGCCAAACTTTTTCAGTTTTTTTGTAATTTATTTATTAATTTTTACCCCGTTTTTCTCCCCAATTCCGTGGTATCCAATTGGTAGTTAAAGTCTTGTCCCATCACTGCAACTCCCGTACGGACTCAGGAGAGGCGAAGGTCAAGAGCTGTGCGTCCTCCGAAACACAACACAACCTAGCCAAGCCACAGTGCTTCTTGACACAATGTCCGCTTAACCCCGAGTGGAGCAGCAGTCTAAGGCACTGCATCTCAGTGTTTGAGGCGTCACTACAGACCCCCTGGTTCGATTCCAGGCTGTATCACAACCGGCCGTGATTGGGAGTCCCATAGGGCGGCGCACAATTGGCCCAGCGTCGTCCGGGTTTGGCCGGTGTAGGCCATCATTGTAAATAAGAATTTGTTCTTAACTGACTGTCATAAAACCGTCGTGGATGTGGTGGAGGAGTCAAGCGCAGGAAGCAGAGGTTTAGTCCAACAAGACTTTTAATAGTCTCAAAAGCAATAGTGTACACCCCGACCTCGAATAACACGAAGAGGCGAGGGAAAATTACGCACACGCGTAAAACACTAAACATAGAAAAATTATACGGAAAACAAACACGTATCAGAAATACAAGAGGCGACGGAAAAATAACACAATTACCATAGAGCAAAACAAGGAACTTATAAGACACATAATCAACACTCAAACAGACACAGGTGTGACAGACAGACAAAAGCAATCAAACACAGAAACAGAGCGGTGGCAGCTAATACTCCGGGGACGGCGAACGCCGAAGCCTGCCCGAACAAGGAGGAGGAGCAGCCTCGGCCGAAACCGTGACACTGACTTGCCTAGTTAAATAAAGGTTAAATAAAAATAAACATAAAATCCGGAAGCCAGCCGCACCAATGTGTCGGAGGAAACACCGTACACCTGGCGACCGTGTCAGCGTGCATGCACCCGGCCCGCCACAGGAGTAGCTAGTGCGCGATGGGACAAGAACATCCCTGCCGTGCCAAACCCTCCCCTTACCTGGATGACGCTGGGCCAATTGTGCGCCGCTCCTTGGGTCTACTGGTCGTGGCCGGATGCGACAGAGCCTGGACACGAACCAGGATCTCTAGCCTTAAACCACGGCGCCACTCGGGAGGCCCTAATGTAGCCTAACTTTAATGAGACTTTTTAAATTACAAAAATATAGGCTACGTTTGACAAATATAATGAAGGATAATGAACATTATCGTCTAAAGGCTTGATTCTGTTGACATACTCGAGGCACGGTTCGTTCAAATCAAATGGGCATCAGACCGGAGAGTGATGGACAGTGCCTTTTTAAGCACATCACCCAGCTTGAATCTGAGCAGAGGGGGTCAGCGTTTTAAAACTATTTAACCATAAATATTAGTTGATACATCTTTAGATCTTCCCTCTTTCTTAATTTCGAATGGATATCTTAATATCTGTTACATGAAACCGCTTGTGTGTGTGGTGTGCTTTTGAGAAGTATTTTTTCCCACGAATTGCATTTTGAAACATTCACAGGTAGCCTATAGCCATGTACGCGTTGTTGAGCTTATAATATGAAGAAATAAAACTGAAAATGTTAAGCTAAACGTCTGATCTGTTGCATCAGCCTCATTACTTTTTAAATATGTTTTAATGCGTAGTGGTTGTATGAAGTTTGGATCTGTCGTCCCAGAACTGTCCTAGAGTCTGTTTTGAACCGCAGACATATTTGATATCGTCCCAGGGACGATGGGACGCCCTTAATTTCGAGCGCTGGAGGGAATTATTTTATAAAGACATACAAAGTATTTGGTTGTAATTGTGATGTTGCAATATTTTATAGGCTAGCAAGGGTGGTCAATAGTGTTGAGTGATTAGTGCTTTTTGAGGTTGGTTTGGTTTCAGGTCGATTGTAATCGAACCAAACATTTTTTTTAACATGAAATGCATTTTATGAAATAATGACGTTAGAATGATTGTGGAGCTTTTTAACAGAAATTCCAAAGCGCAAAATGGTGAACGTTCAATTGCCAAAACATTGAAAATATTCCATGGTCTCTGTCAGGTCCACATTGGTAGACATCAATAGAACAATGGTAAATTACTATGAAATAAGACAATATTTCAGTTGTGTATATTACTTAGTTTTTATTTGATTACTTTATAATTTTTAATTCCTTAAAGTAATCATCTCTGCTCAGGCAGTAGCAGCCAGCCAGACAACGTTATCTCTGTGCTCCCCGTACTGTCCTGTCTTTAGTCATCCTATTTAGCTAGGCTGTAGAGCTGTCTGACTAAATCATTTGACTAGTTCTTCAAAGTAGATAAGACATACTTTCAGGAACTGTGTCATCTATGTGTTGTGTACCTTCCTCTTTCATGCGGTCTATGTGGTGTGTGTATCTAACCTAATATAGCAGGTGTAAAAGTGTATCCGTCCAGAGATCTGTATATAATGACGAGATGCTCATGTCTCTGCCCTAACAATGGGAGTCGTTGTCCCAAAGCCCGGGAATAATAATAATATGCCATTTACCAGACTCTTTTATCCAAAGCGACTTACAGTCATGTGCGCATACATTTTTACGTATGGGTGGTCCCGGGGATCGAACCCACTACCCTGGCGTTACAAGCGCCATGCTCTACCAATTGAGCTACAGAGGACCTGGGAAGGCAGGCGATAAGCTAAGGTCCAAAATAACAAATTACTTGAGCTTTTGAACAAGTAAAAAATCTGTCCTACTTGTGGCTATAATAGTTAATGTCAAGTCCTGATATTTCTCTTTATGTGTGTGTTATCAGTGTGTACCACCATTTTAATTGTTTGTCTTTGTGTGTGTGTGTGCGTTATATCAGTGTGCGTGTATGTGAACAAGCATGGGACCTGTGGGCCTCACCTGGACAGGAAGCAGATGCAGCGTCTGCCGGACCACTTTGGGCCAGGTCCTGTTAACGTGGTTCTGCAACAGGCAGTTCAGAACTGTCTAGACTGTTGTTACCAACCCAAGGTGCTGCTCAGAACTCTACAGGCACACGCTGGGGGAGGAGAGGTCGTCAGTGGTGAGGAGATGGCTACTGACACAGACCTATACTGACACACCACAGACCTTTACTGACACACCACAGACCTATACTGACACACAACAGACCTATACTGACACACCACAGACCTATACTGACACACCACAGACCTATACTGACACACCACAGACCTATACTGACACACCACAGACCTATACTGACACACCACAGACCTATACTGACACACCACAGATCTATACTGACACACCACAGATCTATACTGACACACCACAGATCTATACTGACACACCACAGACCTATACTGACACACCACAGACCTATACTGACACACCACAGACCTATACTGACACACCACAGATCTATACTGACACACCACATACCTATACTGACACACCACAGACCTATACTGACACACCACAGACCTATACTGACACACCACAGACCTATACTGACACACCACAGATCTATACTGACACACCACAGACCTATACTGACACACCACAGATCTATACTGACACACCACAGACCTTTTGAAGAAAGTGCCCTTATACTGTCCAGAGACACCAGTCTGTCCTATCGCCAGTCAGCTGAAAATGACTCTGTGTTGACCTCTGCCCCTAGTGAGGATGGATGGTGGGGTTCGTCTGGTGAAGCTGCCCTCAGCCTCCAGCGCCTCCTTCGTGCTCCGCTTCCTGGAGACGCTGTGTCGCACGCTGCAGAGTCACTTCCTCTTCAGCTCCCAGCCCTTCAGCCACATATACACCTACAGTAACTATGGTAACTACACCGTAACTACACCTACAGCACCACCAAGTCAGGTAACTATGGTAACACTTTAACTTAACCTAGACAGGACCAAGACAGGTAACAAAGTGCCTATTAGAATTTGGCCATCCCTTTTATGGAATCTTGTAAGACCCTGACATAGTTCTCAAGGAAGTACATGTACATTCATTGATAAAAGTTGGCTCGGACAGGGCACTGTGAATACGTGCAGCGGCTCGGACAGGGCACTGTGAATACGTGCAGGGGCTCGGACAGGGCACTGTGAATACGTGCAGGGGCTCGGACAGGGCACTGTGAATACGTGCAGCGGCTCGGACAGGGCACTGTGAATACGTGCAGGGGCTCGGACAGGGCACTGTGAATACGTGCAGGGGCTCGGACAGGGCACTGTGAATACGTGCAGGGGCTCGGACAGGGCACTGTGAATACGTGCAGGGGCTCGGACAGGGCACTGTGAATACGTGCAGGGGCTCGGACAGGGCACTGTGAATACGTGCAGCGGCTCGGACAGGGCACTGTGAATACGTGCAGCGGCTCGGACAGGGCACTGTGAATACGTGCAGGGGCTCGGACAGGGCACTGTGAATACGTGCAGGGGCTCGGACAGGGCACTGTGAATACGTGCAGCGGCTCGGACAGGGCACTGTGAATACGTGCAGGGGCTCGGACAGGGCACTGTGAATACGTGCAGGGGCTCGGACAGGGCACTGTGAATACGTGCAGGGGCTCGGACAGGGCACTGTGAATACGTGCAGGGGCTCGGACAGGGCACTGTGAATACGTGCAGGGGCTCGGACAGGGCACTGTGAATACGTGCAGCGGCTCGGACAGGGCACTGTGAATACGTGCAGCGGCTCGGACGGGGCACTGTGAATACGTGCAGGGGCTCGGACGGGGCACTGTGAATACGTGCAGGGGCTCGGACGGGGCACTGTGAATACGTGCAGGGGCTCGGACAGGGCACTGTGAATACGTGCAGCGGCTCGGACAGGGCACTGTGAATACGTGCAGCGGCTCGGACAGGGCACTGTGAATACGTGCAGGGGCTCGGACAGGGCACTGTGAATACGTGCAGCGGCTCGGACAGGGCACTGTGAATACGTGCAGCGGCTCGGACAGGGCACTGTGAATACGTGCAGGGGCTCGGACGGGGCACTGTGAATACGTGCAGGGGCTCGGACGGGGCACTGTGAATACGTGCAGGGGCTCGGACAGGGCACTGTGAATACGTGCAGCGGCTCGGACAGGGCACTGTGAATACGTGCAGGGGCTCGGACGGGGCACTGTGAATACGTGCAGCGGCTCGGACGGGGCACTGTGAATACGTGCAGCGGCTCGGACGGGGCACTGTGAATACGTGCAGCGGCTCGGACAGGGCACTGTGAATACGTGCAGCTCTATGTTAGTAGCCGTGTTTCACAACATATCTTATAATAATAATATAATATGCCATTTAGCAGACGCTTTTATCCAAAGCGACTTAGTCATCTTCCCTGTGTGTCTGTAGCAGTATGTCTGTAGCTGTAATAACATATATTCCCTGTGTGTCTGTACTAGCAGTATGTCTGTAGCTGTAATAACATATCTTCCCTGTGTGTCTGTAGCAGTATGTCTGTAGATGTAACAACATATCTTCCCTGTGTGTCTGTAGCAGTATGTCTGTAGCAGTAACAACATATCTTCCCTGTGTGTCTACTAGCAGTATGTCTGTAGATGTAACAACATATCTTCCCTGTGTGTCTGTAGCAGTATGTCTGTAGCTGTAACAACATATCTTCCCTGTGTGTCTGTAGCTGTAATAACATATCTTCCCTGTGTGTCTGTACTAGCAGTATGTCAGTAGCTGTAATAACATATCTTCCCTGTGTGTCTGTACTAGCAGTATGTCTGTAGCTGTAACAACATATCTTCCCTGTGTGTCTGTAGCAGTAACAACATATCTTCCCTGTGTGTCTGTAGCAGTAACAACATATCTTCCCTGTGTGTCTGTAGCAGTAACAACATATCTTCCCTGTGTGTCTGTAGCTGTAACAACATATCTTCCCTGTGTGTCTGTAGCAGTAACAACATATATTCCCTGTGTGTCTGTACTAGCAGTATGTCTGTAGCTGTAACAACATATCTTCCCTGTGTGTCTGTAGCAGTATGTCTGTAGCTGTAACAACATATCTTCCCTGTGCGTCTGTAGCAGTATGTCTGTAGATGTAACAACATATCTTCCCTGTGTCTGTACTAGCAGTATGTCTGTAGCTGTAACAACATATCTTCCCTGTGTGTCTGTAGCAGTAACAACATATCTTCCCTGTGTGTCTGTAGCTGTAATAACATATCTTCCCTGTGTGTCTGTAGCAGTAACAACATATCTTCCCTGTGTGTCTGTAGCTGTAACAACATATCTTCCCTGTGTGTCTGTAGCAGTATGTCTGTAGCTGTAATAACATATATTCCCTGTGTGTCTGTACTAGCAGTATGTCTGTAGCTGTAACAACATATCTTCCCTGTGTGTCTGTAGCAGTATGTCTGTAGCTGTAACAACATATCTTCCCTGTGTGTCTGTACTAGCAGTATGTCTGTAGCTGTAACAACATATCTTCCCTGTGCGTCTGTAGCAGTATGTCTGTAGCTGTAACAACATATCTTCCCTGTGTGTCTGTAGCAGTAACAACATATCTTCCCTGTGTGTCTGTAGCTGTAATAACATATATTCCCTGTGTGTCTGTACTAGCAGTATGTCTGTAGCTGTAATAACATATCTTCCCTGTGTGTCTGTACTAGCAGTATGTCTGTAGCTGTAACAACATATCTTCCCTGTGCGTCTGTAGCAGTGTGTCTGTAGCTGTAACAACATATCTTCCCTGTGCGTCTACTAGCAGTATGTCTGTAGCTGTAACAACATATCTTCCCTGTGCGTCTGTAGCAGTGTGTCTGTAGCTGTAACAACATATCTTCCCTGTGCGTCTACTAGCAGTATGTCTGTAGCTGTAACAACATATCTTCCCTGTGTGTCTGTAGCAGTAACAACATATCTTCCCTGTGTGTCTGTAGCAGTAACAACATATCTTCCCTGTGTGTCTGTAGCTGTAATAACATATATTCCCTGTGTGTCTGTACTAGCAGTATGTCTGTAGCTGTAATAACATATCTTCCCTGTGTGTCTGTACTAGCAGTATGTCAGTAGCTGTAACAACATATCTTTGTCTGTGTGTCTGTAGCAGTAACAACATATCTTTGTCTGTCTGTTCCAGTGAAGGAGGAGGCATTGGAGGCCCCATCACTGAGCCGGGGGAGTAAACGTCTCTCTAGAGACTCATCCCCCTACGCAGCCCCTCTTTCCCCTAAACTACTGCGCACCGAAGCACACCTTTCAGAAGGTAACACCAGCCAATCAGCACCTAGCACCACCGTCTACTGGCTCACAGTACACGCATACAATACATCAACACAAATCATATATAGAGGTTGGAGAAACCAGTAAAGACCTTTTGATGATCAGTGACCAAGTCCCAGATCACATTTTTGGATGTCCAAGATAAGATTTTTAGATGATCACAACAGCTGAATGGTAGTTCATCCATGATAATAAAAATCACCTAAAAAACAACTGTTTGTTCCATCTATCAAAATGTCCCACAGAGGTCCACCAAGGTCATATTCAGTGCATTCGGAAAGTATTCAGACATTTACTGACAGCCTCATTCTAAAATGGATTCAATTTGGTTTTTTCCTCATCAATTTACACACAATATCCCATAATGACAAAGCAAAAACAGGTTTTTAGAAATGTTTGCAAATGTATAAAATTTAAAAAAAAAAACGAAATTCCTTATTTACATAACTATTCAGACCCTTTGCTATGAGACTTGAAATTGAGCTCAGATGCATCCTGTTTCCATTGATCATCCTTGAGATGTTTCTACAACTTGATTGGAGTCCACCTGTGGTAAATTCAATTGATTGGACATGATTTGGAAAGGCACACACCTGTCTATATAAGGTCCCACAGTTGACAGTGCATGTCAGAGCAAAAACCAAGCCATGAGGTCGAAGGAATTGTCGGTAGTGCTACGAAACAAGATTGTGTCGGCACAGATCTGGGGAAGGGTACCAAAAAATATCTGCAGCATTGAAGGTCCCCAAGAACACAGTGGCCTCCATCATTCTTAAATGGAAGACGTTTGGAACCACCAAGACTCTTCCTAGAGCTGGCCGCCCGGCCAAACTGAGCAATCGGGGGAGAAGGGCCTTGGTCAGGAGGTGACCAAGAACCCGATGGTCACTCTGACAGAGTTCCTCTGTGGAGATGGTAGAACCTTCCAGAAGGACAACCATCTCTGCAGCACTCCACCAATCAGGCCTTTATGGTAGAGTGGCCAGACGGAAGCCACTCCTCAGTAAAAGGCACATGACAGCCCACTCGGAGTTTGCCAAAAGGCACCGAAAGGACTCAGACCATGAGAAACAAGATTCACTGGTCTGATGAAACCAAGATTAAACTCTTTGGCCTGAATGCCAAGCGTCACGTCTGGAGGAAACCTGGCACCATCCCTACGGTGAAGCATGGTGGTGGCAGCGTCATGGTGTGGGGATGTCTTTCAGCGGCAGGGACTGGGAGACTAGTCAGGATCGAGGGAAAGATGAACGGAGCAAAGTACAGAGAGATCCTTGATGAAAACCTGCTCCAGAGCACTCAGGACCTCAGACTGGGGCGAAGGTTTACCTTCCAACAGGACAACGACCCTAAGCAAACAGCCAAGACAACGCAGGAGTGGCTTCGGGACAAGTTTCTGAATGTCCTTGAGTGGCCCAGCCAGATTCCGGACTTGAACCCGATCGAACGTCTCTGGAGAGACCTGAAAATAGCTGTGCAGCGACGCTCCCCTTCAAACCTGACAGAGCTTGAGAGGATCTGCAGAGAAGAATGGGAGAAACTCCCCAAATACAGGTGTGCCAAGCTTGTAGCATCATACCCAAGAAGACTAGAGGCTGTAATCGCTGCCAAATGTGCTTCAACAAAGTACTGAGTAAAGGGTCTGAATACTTATGTAAATGTAATATTTCCGTTTTTAATTTTTAATACATTTGCTAACAATTCTAAAAACCTGTTTTTGCTTTGTCATTATGGGGTATTGTGTGTAGATAGCTGAGGGAAAAAAAACTATTTAATCAATTTTAGAATAAGGCTGTAACATAACAAAATGTGGAAAAAGTCAAGAGGTCTGAATACTTTCTGAATACGCTGTATATTTGGATTGGGCAGATTGGTTAGAGTAAGGGTCTTGTGTATTTCTCCTGCAGATACCCTGCCCCATGAGGAGAACAGCCTTCTGAAGGAGCAGTGCTTCATGGACTCAAACTCCATGACGCCACGCCCCCAGGCTCTGCGCAGCACCTCCGACTACCACACCCACTCTGGCCACATCCACTCCCAGGCCAGCAGCCCCTATTACCCATCCCATGGCTCCGGACGCGCCCACAGCACGCCACTGCACCGCCACGCCTCCAACCCTGCGGACCTCCCCTCCACACACACCAACAGAGGAGTGGAAGGTAAGTCCTGTAGGAGCCAGTCTCTCCCCATGGTGTGTTGCTATATCCAAAACCCTACTCTGCTCTCCGTGTCAGTCTGGTTGCTGCTACTGGGTTGGCTTTTAGTTGAAGACCCAAATCCCTGGAATATATGATCATTGCAATCTCTTTGAAGGAGCGTAGTGGCATTTGCAACAGTAAATCATCTTAATGTTCAGATTACGAGCCCTGGGTTTAAACAACTCGGACATGAAATGTCTCAGATCCTATCTTAAGGGGCGTATTGAAATGGTGGATGTGAACCGGTCACTGTCCAAACCCAAAACTAATATCTGTGGAGTACCACAAGGAATAACCATTTTATTCCCTACTGTGTATCTCTGATGCTACTATAAGCTGTAGACTATAGTGTTACTGCTCGGTTGTTTTTGTTCTCCAGCTGCCAGCTCCACCACGGGCCCCGAGCCCCCGGCCCCAGGCAGACAGACCCCCACCACGGGCCCCGAGCCCCCGGCCCCAGGCAGACAGACCCCCAGGGGGGCAGGGTTGGGCAGGAACCCCTCTACCTGGTCCATCGATGAGGTCATGCAGTTTGTGAGCGACGCCGACCCCTCAGCCCTGGCCCCGCATGCTGAGCTGTTCAGGAAACACGTGAGTAACGTCTGACCATAGAGTAGAGGGAAAACTACTGTTATTACTGACCATAGAGTTATAACCACTGTTATTACTGACCATAGAGTTATAACTACTGTTATTACTGACCATATAGTTATAACTACTGTTATTACTGACCATAGAGTTATAACTACTGTTATTACTGACCATAGTTATAACCACTGTTATTACTGACCATAGAGTTATAACTACTGTTATTACTGACCATAGAGTTATAACTACTGTTATTACTGACCATAGAGTTATAACTACTGTTATTACTGACCATAGAGTTATAACTACTGTTATTACTGACCATAGAGTTATAACCACTGTTATTACTGACCATAGAGTTATAACACTGTTATTACTGACCATAGAGTTATAACCACTGTTATTACTGACCATAGAGTTATAACCACTGTTATTACTGACCATAGAGTTATAACTACTGTTATTACTGACCATAGAGTTATAACCACTGTTATTACTGACCATAGAGTTATAACCACTGTTATTACTGACCATAGAGTTATAACCACTGTTATTACTGACCATAGAGTTATAACCACTGTTATTACTGACCATAGAGTTATAACCACTGTTATTACTGACCATAGAGTTATAACCACTGTTATTACTGATCATATAGTTATAACCACTAGAGTAGAGGGAAAACTACTGTTATTACTGACCATAGTTATAACTACTGTTATTACTGACCATAGTTATAACTACTGTTATTACTGACCATAGTTATAACCACTGTTATTACTGACCATAGAGTTATAACTACTGTTATTACTGACCATAGTTATAACTACTGTTATTACTGACCATAGAGTTATAACTACTGTTATTACTGACCATAGAGTTATAACTACTGTTATTACTGACCATAGTTATAACTACTGTTATTACTGACCATAGAGTTATAACTACTGTTATTACTGACCATAGTTATAACTACTGTTATTACTGACCATAGAGTTATAACCACTGTTATTACTGACCATAGAGTTATAACCACTGTTATTACTGACCATAGAGTTATAACCACTGTTATTACTGACCATAGAGTTATAACCACTGTTATTACTGACCATAGAGTTATAACCACTGTTATTACTGACCATAGAGTTATAACCACTGTTATTACTGACCATAGAGTTATAACCACTAGAGTAGAGGGAAAACTACTGTTATTACTGACCATAGAGTTATAACCACTGTTATTACTGACCATAGAGTTATAACCACTGTTATTACTGATCATAGAGTTATAACCACTGTTATTACTGATCATATAGTTATAACCACTAGAGTAGAGGGAAAACTACTGTTATTACTGACCATAGAGTTATAACTACTGTTATTACTGACCGTATAGTTATAACCACTGTTATTACTGACCATAGAGTTATAACCACTAGAGTAGAGGGAAAACTACTGTTATTACTGACCATATAGTTATAACTCTGTTATTACTGACCATAGAGTTATAACCACTTATTACTGACCATAGTTATAACTACTGTTATTACTGACCATAGAGTTATAACCACTGTTATTACTGACCATAGAGTTATAACCACTGTTTTTACTGACCATAGAGTTATAACCACTTATTACTGACCATAGAGTTATAACCACTGTTATTACTGACCATAGAGTTATAACACTGTTATTACTGACCATAGAGTTATAACCACTGTTATTACTGACCATAGAGTTATAACCACTGTTATTACTGACCATAGAGTTATAACCACTAGAGTAGAGGGAAAACTACTGTTATTACTGACCATAGAGTTATAACCACTGTTATTACTGACCATAGAGCTATAACCACTGTTATTACTGACCATAGAGTTATAACCACTGTTATTACTGACCATAGAGTTATAACCACTGTTATTACTGACCATAGAGCTATAACCACTGTTATTACTGACCATAGAGTTATAACCACTGTTATTACTGACCATAGAGTTATAACCACTAGAGTAGAGGGAAAACTACTGTTATTACTGACCATAGTTATAACCACTGTTATTACTGACCATAGAGTTATAACCACTAGAGTAGAGGGAAAACTACTGTTATTACTGACCATAGAGTTATAACCACTGTTATTACTGACCATAGAGCTATAACCACTGTTATTACTGACCATAGAGTTATAACCACTGTTATTACTGACCATAGAGTTATAACCACTGTTATTACTGACCATAGAGCTATAACCACTGTTATTACTGACCATAGAGTTATAACCACTGTTATTACTGACCATAGAGTTATAACCACTAGAGTAGAGGGAAAACTACTGTTATTACTGACCATAGTTATAACCACTGTTATTACTGACCATAGAGTTATAACCACTGTTATTACTGACCATAGAGTTATAACCACTGTTATTACTGACCATAGAGTTATAACTACTGTTATTACTGACCATAGAGTTATAACTACTGTTATTACTGACCATAGAGTTATAACTACTGTTTTTACTGACGATGGAGTTTTTCTAAATGATGCTAATCCTGGCTGATTTCTCTCTCTGTCTGCCTGTCTCTCTCTGTCTGCCTGTCTCTCTCTGTCTGCCTGTCTCTCTCTGTCTGCCTGTCTCTCTCTGTCTGCCCGTCTCTCTCTGCCTGTCTCTCTCTGCCTGTCTCTGTCTGCCTGTCTCTGTCTGCCTGTCTCTGTCTGCCTGTCTCTCTCTGCCTGTCTCTGTCTGCCTGGCTCTGTCTGCCTGGCTCTCTCCCTGCCTGGCTCTCTCCCTGCCTGGCTCTCTCCCTGCCTGGCTCTCTCCCTGCCTGGCTCTCTCCCTGCCTGGCTCTCTCCCTGCCTGTCTGCCTGTCTCTCTCCCTGCCTGTCTCTCTCCCTGCCTGTCTGCCTGTCTCTCTCTGTCTGCCTGTCTCTCTGTCTGCCTGTCTCTCTCTGTCTGCCTGTCTCTCTCTCTGTCTGCCTGTCTCTCTCTCTGTCTGCCTGTCTCTCTCTGTCTGCCTGTCTCTCTCTCTGTCTGCCTGTCTCTCTCTCTGTCTGCCTGTCTCTCTCTCTGTCTGCCTGTCTCTCTCCCTGCATGTCTCTCTCCCTGCCTGTCTGCCTGTCTCTCTGTCTGCCTGTCTCTCTCTGTCTGCCTGTCTCTCTCTGTCTGCCTGTCTCTGTCTGCCTGTCTCTGTCTGCCTGTCTCTCTCCCTGCCTGGCTCTCTGCCTGCCTGTCTGCCTGTCTCTCTCCCTGCCTGGCTCTCTCTGTCTGCCTGTCTCTCTGTCTGCCTGCGTGTCTGTCCATCCTCAGGAGATTGATGGCAAGGCCCTGATGCTGCTGAGGAGTGACATGGTGATGAAGTACATGGGTCTGAAGCTGGGCCCCGCCCTGAAGCTGTGTCACCACATAGAGCGGCTGAAACAGGGGAAACTGTAGAGCTGAAACAGGGGAAACTGTGGAGCTGAAACAGGGGAAACTAGAGCTGAAACGCAGACAAACAGGGGAAACTGTAGAGCTGAAACACCATAGAGACTGAAACAGGGGAAACTGTAGAGCTGAAACACAGACGGAAACAGGGAAAACTGTAGAGCTGAAACACATAGACTGAAACAGGAGAAACTGTAGGGCTGAAACAGGGGAAACTGTAGGGCTGAAACAGGGGAAACTGTAGGGCTGAAACAGGGACTGAAACAGGGCAAACTGTAGAGCTGAAACAGGGGAAACTGTAGAGCTGAAACAGGGGAAACTGTAGGGCTGAAACAGGGGAAACTGTAGGGCTGAAACAGGGACTGAAACAGGGCAAACTGTAGAGCTGAAACAGGGGAAACTGTAGAGCTGAAACACATAGACTGAAACGGGAAACTGTAGGGCTGAAACAGGGGAAACTGTAGGGCTGAAACAGGGGAAACTGTAGGGCTGAAACAGGGGAAACTGTAGAGCTGAAACAGGGGAAACTGTAGGGCTGAAACAGGGGAAACTGTAGGGCTGAAACAGAGGAAACTGTAGAGCTGAAACAGGAGAAACTGTAGGGCTGAAACAGGGGAAACTGTAGGGCTGAAACAGGGGAAACTGTAGGGCTGAAACAGGGGAAACTGTAGAGCTGAAACAGGGGAAATTGTAAGGCTGAAACAGGGGAAACTGTAGGGCTGAAACAGAGGAAACTGTAGAGCTGAAACAGGGGAAACTGTAGGGCTGAAACAGGGGAAACTGTAGGGCTGAAACAGGGGAAACTGTAGGGCTGAAACAGAGGAAACTGTAGAGCTGAAACAGGGGAAACTGTAGGGCTGAAACAGGGGAAACTGTAGAGCTGAAACAGGGGAAACTGTAGGGCTGAAACAGGGGAAAGTGTAGAGCTGAAACAGGGGAAAGTGTAGAGCTGAAACAGGGGAAAGTGTAGGGCTGAAACAGGGGAAACTGTAGAGCTGAAACAGAGGAAACTGTAGAGCTGAAACAGGGGAAACTGTAGAGCTGAAACAGGGGAAAGTGTAGAGCTGAAACAGGGGAAAGTGTAGAGCTGAAACAGGGGAAAGTGTAGAGCTGAAACAGGGGAAAGTGTAGAGCTGAAACAGGGGAAAGTGTAGAGCTGAAACAGGGGAAAGTGTAGAGCTGAAACAGGGGAAAGTGTAGAGCTGTCCCAGATCAGCCCAGCCTCAAACACAGCGTCCCTTACTGGTGACCTAATACTTCTACTCCCCCCAGACCCCTCCAACTCTAGCCCCCAGCCTGCTCCGAAGACCCCTCCAACTCTAGCCCCCAGCCTGCTCCGAAGACCCCTCCAACTCTAGCCCCCAGCCTGCCCTCCAACTCTAGCCCCCAGCCTGCCCTCCAACTCTAGCCCCCAGCCTGCCCTCCAACTCTAGCCCCCAGCCTGCCCTCCAACTCTAGCCCCCAGCCTGCCCTCCAACTCTAGCCCCCAGCCTGCCCTCCAACTCTAGCCCCCAGCCTGCCCTCCATCTCTAGCCCCCAGCCTGCTCCTACTCTGCCAGTCGGTTGAAGACCCCTCCAACTCTAGCCCCCAGCCTGCCCTCCATCTCTAGCCCCCAGCCTGCCCTCCATCTCTAGCCCCCAGCCTGCTCCTACTCTACCAGTCGGTTGAAGACCCCTCCAACTCTAGCCCCCAGCCTGCCCTAAGCCATTTTTATCTCTGAGCTGTCTCAGTCCAGTTATGTTATCTCTGGTAACATGCCTCTAACATACAGACGGTATGGAAACATGGAAACACACAGTGTGGACCAGTGAAAACATGCCACATTACCTCATCTCCTCCTCAGCCAATCAGAGCTGGCCAAGCCAAACATAGAGAAGGCTGTGATTGGTTGGATCCCAAAGCAACAGACTCTCTCTCCATAGTGTTTACATTGAATAGCACGGACTGACTAACCTACACTAGGACATGCTAAGACCTTTTACTGAGGAATGTTTGATCCTGGTTCTGGATCCCAAAGATGTACATTGTTTTCTTCTATGACGTTATGTTTTTATTATCATTAATATCCTGTTAATAAGGAGGATGTGTATATAGATGTAACAGTAATGATATTAGATAGAAGCTACACCTGTTTACAGCTGCAGAACGTCTGTTGTCTATTTCAATTCCTGTCAGTTCAATGATGTGTCCATGATGATGGATGATCTGCAGTCTAAGGTAGACGTTTGGCCTGTTGCCATGACATCACTAGCCTCATGGTAAATGGTGAAATGTGTTACTAGTGTTAGCAGGTGACTTTCCCCAATTTAAGATGGTCATTGTCTTAAACAGCTAGACGTTATATCTAATGCCTGTCAGACTGACAGACCGTCAACCTCCAACAAGCGGAGCTATTCAGGCAGTTCTTTTGAGTGTGCCTTGCTGGAATCTTTGACTGTTTTTGGTGTGGGGATGAATGAAGGTCATGCTGTTGAAGAGAGCGCCCCTACTGGTGGTATCAGCACGGAGGCTTTGTCCTGGTCCAGTTTTCATCAGTACAGAACTGTCTAGAAAGATTATTTTAATTTATTTCAAAGGACAGCTCAGTCATTCTAGAAGTTATTTCAGAGGACAGCTGGTTCTAGTTTCAAGCGTAAAGGGGACATCATGTTAAAGGGCTTTCTATCCAGGTTTCAGTTTGATATTAAAGGTGCTACACATGGGATTTTTTGGAATTTTTACATTGTAATTTCAGAAAATGTCCATAATATATCTGCAGAAGACTGTGATATTCGCTTATAAGCTTCAAACGGCTTTATAAAATATTTTTTGGGTTATTGAAAATATATTTCACAGCAACTTAAATGGTACAATGATTCCCTATACTATTAAGTGCTTCTTTTCTCACATTAATTGAAATTGAGCGAACAGTGTAGAACTTTAGCAACCAGGGAATGACAGAGCAATTTCCACTAGATAACACAGTCACACAGTCTGAATTTACAACGCAAAAATTCGACAAAAACATTGTATCCTGTGTAGTATCTTTTAATATTAGTACCAGTCCGAGGGAGAGATCCTCACCTGTTATTGGTCCCTTCAGGACGTCATGTTGTCAGTTGGACCATTGTTAAAACAGCTGTACCGCTATATGGTTTTAACCATGAATATCAGACACAAGAATGTACATTTTTGTAGAAAATAAATATTTTAATGAAATGATATATAAGAAGTAGAAATGTGAAGATTATGGGTGAGGGAGGGACAATGTATTTCATACTGCCTTTTTAATGCTTTATACATATTTTAGTTGAAACGCCCTCAACATAATACAACAGAACCTGCCTTGCTTTACTTAGAGATCTCTCAGGGGGTCTTTGTTAATAGAAACGTTTGTAGCATTCTGTTCTGGGTATTCTAAACCATTCTTCTGTTGTTGGTGAGTTGGAGTTAAGGACCCGTTGTTAAGGACCCGTTGTGCCATAAAGTAACGCAAGAACATAGGGTTTTTGTTAAATTCTCTTAAAGCATCTCAAATTACTTGAAAAAGATGTTGCAAGTCACACCTGAAACAAAAGTGTATTTTCTATTTTATAAATCTCCCAAATGGAAAGCAGCTTGTGTACTGTCGTTATTGTGTATAGTCCAGAGCCATGGTCTCCAACAGGTAGATCCCCAGCTACCAGCCCACCTATGGCACACCAAGCAATTCTGAAGCAGTTGCCGACTCCTCAGGAAGGAAGGCAGCTATTGGCTGTCCTAAAAGTCACTAAATGACATCATCACCTAATTTGCATAATTGGCCATGTGCATGTAATTGTGATGGACGCTGTAGGAAAGAGGAATAATGCTGTAGGAGGGAGGAATAATGCTGTAGGAGAGAGGAATAATGCTGTAGGAGGGAGGCACAACGCTGTAGGAGGGAGGAATAACGCTGTAGGAGAGAGGAATAACGCTGTAGGAGAGAGGCACAACGCTGTAGGAGAGAGGCACAACGCTGTAGGAGAGAGGCACAACGCTGTAGGAGAGAGGCACAACGCTGTAGGAGAGAGGAATAACGCTGTAGGAGAGAGGCACAACGCTGTAGGAGAGAGGAATAACGCTGTAGGAGAGAGGAGGAATAACGCTGTAGGAGGGAGGAATAACGCTGTAGGAGAGAGGAATAACGCTGTAGGAGAGAGGAACAACGCTGTAGGAGAGAGGAACAACGCTGTAGGAGAGAGGCACAACGCTGTAGGAGAGAGGCACAACGCTGTAGGAGAGAGGCACAACGCTGTAGGAGAGAGGAGGAATAACGCTGTAGGAGAGAGGAGGAATAACGCTGTAGGAGAGAGGAGGAATAACGCTGTAGGAGGGAGGCACAACGCTGTAGGAGAGAGGCACAACGCTGTAGGAGAGAGGCACAACGCTGTAGGAGAGAGGCACAACGCTGTAGGAGAGAGGCACAACGCTGTAGGAGAGAGGAATAATGCTGTAGGAAAGAGGAATAACGCTGTAGGAGAGACAAAAAGTGAGTAAAAAACACCCCACATTTACATCCCCCCTGAATGTATGCCAGGGCGGGATCCCGCATGCGTGATTCATTTGCAGTCTGGACGCGGAGGGGTGAACGTCTCCTGCTCTGACTGCAGCTGGGAGGGACTGCTGCGCGAGGACTGGGCCACATGTGAGTGCTTTGGGACTGGGGGTGGGGCCCGGGGCCCACGGCAGCACCCGCTGCTCGTTGAGAAGAGTAAGAACGATACGTGCTTTCACGTCAGAGTCTCCAAAAGTCTCCAATAACACCAGAGAAAGTCGCTAGATTTGTCGCTAGTCGCTTTTATGAAGATGTGTCGCTAGAGGGGTCTGAACTCGCTAAATATAGCGACAAAGTCGCTAAGTTGGCAACACTGTCTGAAAGTACATGCAATTTTTTCATTTGTTCCATCGCAAACTGTCATAAACAGACATCTCCCAGCTACTATCCAATCAAAGCCACATTGGCATTATCCCACCCCTGGTTAGCCACTATTGGCTTAAAAAGCCTAAC